AATAAGGACATGAGAAAAACATTGCTTTACAAACTTTAAGACTTAATAAAAATATTTGATATTTTGCGAATGAAAACATTGTAATGTTTAGTGATAATCTGCCAAATTTCATTAACATTTGCTACTAATTTAAAAGTTATAGCATGAAAACTATAGCAAGTACAAAATGTTTGTGAGGTCGGTCCGAGGGACTGAGCCCATGCTGAAAAAAGAGTTAAATAGTGCAAAAGATCATTGTAGTTCCAGCAGTTTCATATCTGAAGATTCAAAATGGTTAAACAAACTGTTTGAAAGAGAACTTATACTTTTATTACTTATTAATTTATCTAGTTTAGTATAGAACTGGAAAATCTTTTCAAAATGTTTTTAATTATTTTTGGTTGATAATATTCAAACTTCTATTAACTAATCCCACATGCATAGAACATTATGTACTATATTACAATCATAACTATTAATGTTTTTATCAGCATTTTCCTGACAATTCTGTACATAAACTCAACACTGTAATTACTTCTCCATATTGTGTTTTTATCACAAATTTATTCATAGCCATTTTAACAAGAAAAGTCTCTAAGTGTCATATATTTTCTCTTGACAAAATTTTAAAAACTTTAAAAAAGTTTGTAATAAAGCACAAAGCTACACAAAGGCTATCTGTGATCTGACCACCACAGGTATCGAAACCCGAATTCTAGCATTGTAAGTCCGCAGACATACTGCTGTGCCACTGGAGGCTTCTGTAATAAAATTGTAATCTGACTTATATTATCGATTCTACGTACACTCTTCAAAATGCACTTAAAATAACCCTATTTTGTTCTTTATTACTAACACAGAGAAATCTTTTTCTGAGAATTCCACACAGTGTTACTATTACTTTTAAAGTTTGTGAAATAGAATTGTTCTCTGTGCCAAGTTATGCTAAAAACATGATGACAAAAAAGTAAATAAACAGTTTAACTATTGCCAAAAAAACAATGTTATGAGATTTTTATTACAAAATGTTCACCTCTAGACTTAATTTTATTAAAGCAGATGCTGCCATTGATCTTCCATAAAACAGAAACAGCAAGTCCTTCAAAACATTTTTTAAAGAATTTAAATGGCAATCAAGGCTCTGTTATAAAAAAGTACTAATTATCTTTTTCAAGTAAGTTTGAAGCTTCTGTGTTGTTTAGGATTGCAAGCTCATAATGTTCCAATAAGAAACTTATGTACTTGGCCAAAGAATGCTAATTTTTTTTGTATTGTATCTCTAAAACACAGACACTTCATCAGTTTCATCTAGTTCATACTGTAACCACTCTTGTCATGTTATTTGCTAATATAATTAGTATCTCAAACACATCTGTCATATCTCAGCCAGTGTGAAAAACCCTGGTATTAGGCAAAAGACCTTATTAGCACTGAACATAGTGTCTTTACTTTTGCTCATAAGTCTCTTATTAATAATTGTTAAATACTATTAAGAAGATTAGTGAATCATTTTTTTTTAAATAGGATTTTGAGGAATCTGATCCTGTGCCAGAGATCCGAAAAGATCACTTTGAAGAAGCTATGAAATTTGCACGCCGATCGGTTAGTGATAACGACATCAGAAAGTATGAAATGTTCTCCCAGACACTCCAGCAGAGTCGTGGATTTGGTACAAATTTTAGGTAAGATCTAATTTGATTTCCTCTTCCAGATAACTTGTGAGTCATAGATAGGTTACCCACACTGACCTTTGTTACATGACAAAAGATGTGTGTGTTACCCATGCTGGCCTTTACTACATGACACAGGATATGTGTTACCCATACTGACTTTTGCTACATGACATAGGACGTGTGTTACCCATACTCCCACACTGACCATTGTTACATGACATGAGATGTGTGTTACCCATACTGACCTTTGTTACATGACATGAGATGTGTTACCCATACTGACCTTTGTTACATGACATAGGCATATGTTACCCATCCTGACCTTTGTTACATGACATAGGACACATGTTACCCACACTGACCTTTGTTACATGACATAGGACACATGTTACCCACACTGACCTTTGTTACATGACACAGGATGTGTCTTACCCATGCTGACCATTGTTACAAGACACAGGATGCATGTTACACCATGTTGACCTTTGTTATATGACATAGAACGTGTGTTACACCATGCTGACCCTTGCTACATGACTTGAATTACCAACAACTTAAGTAGATCTATTTTCAATAATGGAATACATCCTATTTTTTGCCCACATAGAGATAATAAAAGTTAAATGAGTGTTGGGATGTGTTTTCTAAAAACTATCTTTTCAACCTGTGGGGGGTGAGATTGCAACTTAGAAAATAAGACAGTTCAGAAATGTTTTTTTTTAGAATGGTTGTCTTACAGTTAAATGTGTTTAAACACACAGTTTTGCTAAAGAAACTTTTGTTTTCAAACGAGCAATTTCTTCAACTTACTGTTGCATAAATTCTGAGAAGCATAATTATATTTTATACAGATTTCCAAATGCACAACCATCTGGATCTGGAGGATCTCAAGGTCCTGATCAGGGAAATTTCCAGAATGATGGAGATGATGATGATCTATACAGCTAAGAACGTCACTCCAGTCTCATCTTTTAGGAATAAATGCAAAAGAATTTACATTCTGTGAAGGGATTTTAATAACGTAATCCTTTTGAAGGACAACTTGTTCTTGTCTAGCATGCAGATGGAACTGGAACATGATGTTATATAACCAGATAGAAGAATTGTTTAGGGTAATTTTGCACTTCTACTTCAGTGATGAACGTTTTTATTATTCACCACTGCATGTAAGGCATTAACAGGGAGTATTATAAGATGTTTATTCATTTTGTTCATTGTACACAAATTCAGTTTTTTTTTCCCAGTTTTTTCAATAGATATAAATATTCCCTATGAAACTGGATTCTGTTTTATAAACAAATCGTTCTGTAATCCTTTCTTTGTAATACTGCTTAGTCATTAAAATATAGATAAAGTACTTTATCCAGTACAGCTTAATATGGTGTATGAGGGGACATGTTTTAATTACTCAGTATTAGTGACAAGTTCTGATGAAATTGAGTGGAATTTTATCAGTAAATATAGTGATAAACAAGTAGTCATAATTATCTATCTCACAGTTACTAAATGTAAACTATATTGTTATTAAGTTTTGTGATGGGTTCAGTTTTTTTGTTTTTTGCACACACATTTTCAAAGCCCCATTTTTGGGCAGCATGATTTACAGACATTTTTTTTAGTCTCTCTGAAGTTCCATTTTTTAAACAGCATGGCACAAAAGTCACACCCATAAAGATTGTGAATAACAATAACAAAAAGTAGTTTTTTTTTGTTTATTAAATTAAATGTTTGGTCTATTAGTCTTTAACTTCGACTCAATAACTGCTTCGAAGTGAATGGCCAGCAATTTTAACATTTACTGTAATAAACAAAAAAGTAACTATTTGCATCACCCTGTATATTATTTTATAGTCTTACTTACACTGATACTTTGGAAACTTTCACACCTTAAAATATCTGGAATAATATTTCACCTGTGCATTTTTATGCCCTGAATCCAAAAACCAATTTTCCCCCATATGGTGTTTATGAGGAGAAATCATGCCCTAAAGTTGGGAACTTTCACAGTTAAGTATATATATATAGGAAAATTCCCACCATCTTTACATCTAAAACAGAGTAACCTGTTGGTGAAATCTGACATGTTTTATTGTACAAGGTGGAGATTCAAATACAACGTCTGTTGAAATTCTTTTTTTATAGATGTTTTGATAAACACTGATTGTGTCAAATGTTTGATTAATATATATATATATATATATATAGAGAGAGAGAGAGTAAGAAGAAATACATACGAACACTATACGTACTAATATAAGTAATAGTAGGAGTACGTAGGTAAGTTAAGTAAGTTCTTACTAGTCGTAGTAAGTT